CCGGCTGGTCCCGATGGGCCAGGTCCTGCCGGGTCAGGTCCGAGACCTCGCGCTCTGCTCTTCTCGCACCCCGAAGAAGAGGCCCTATCTCCGCGGAGTGCCCCAGGCCCTGGCTGGCTCCTGCCCGCAGGATTCGCTACCTGGCGAGAGGCTCCCCGCAAGCTCGCTTTGGGAAACACTCCTAAAATTACCGTGTGGAATTAGGGTTCCTGGGCTTGTGCGTCCCGCGAGCCGGCGCTGAACCCGGGCCGGCGCTCCGCTCCCTGCTCGTCCGGCCACGCGCACACCAGTGGCCGCACGTCCAGGTTGCGGACTGATCAAACGCAGCAGCGGGTGAGGAAACCGGCCAGGAGCGCAGGTGCGTCGGAGCTGTCCAGCGCGTTTCAGAGGCGAACCCAACGGCCCAACCAGGTTTTCGCTGCTCTCCGCCGCCCGGAAGCCCCGGCGTCCCGCCCGCCAGAGCCGTCCGGGGCGGGAGCGCTCAGGAGCCCTGGGCGAGGGCCGAGCAGGGAGGGCCCAGCGCAGGGCGGAGTAGACACGGCTCCGAACCAGCGGGGAGGAACGGCCCGAGGCTTGCGTGTACAGACGAGGTGGCCGAGTGGTTAAGGCGATGGACTGCTAATCCATTGTGCTCTGCACGCGTGGGTTCGAATCCCACCCTCGTCGTCACCTAGGTTTTCTTTACCCAGGGAGGATCCCTTACCCACCGGCTGGACCCTAAGCCCGGCGGAATGCCCCCCACCTTTCCCATTCAAGGAAATGTGTTTCTGATTTGGGTGGATTTTAAACTCTATTTCCGTTTCCTCAGAAAACTGCCCACCACCGATGTGCCAGGCCTCTGGTCTAGACACGTCTCTAGGCAGCTGATCATATCCTCCAGTGCTGGGTTAGACCTCCTCCCCAGGAGAGTTTCAAAGGAACATTGTATGTGGAAAAAAGCAACAGTGTCAGTTACTTTTCTCTGGTTGCTGAGACAAAATACCTGACACCCAAAGTTAAGGAAGAAAGGTGTATTTGGCTGGCAGTCTGTGGAGGTTTCGGTCTGTAATCAGCTGGCTCCAAGGCAGGGTGGCCGGGCACAGGGGCAACGCTTCACGGTGGTAGAAGACAGCAAAAGCAGAAACGAGGGGAGGGAACAAGCCTCTCTTGTATTGTAAGCCGGCGGCCACGCCCTCGGGCGGGTGTAGCACTCACACTGTCTTCGCGGCCCGGGGATGTTCATACAGTGAGGACCCTGGCCCCCTGCTGAGCTGCTTGAGCAGCTCAGGCTGACACAGTGTATCAACCATCGCAGCGACCTCCTATGGAACGGAGTTAAACAGGCAAGGAGGGCTTTATCCAAGACTGTTACAACGGGAAAGGGAGGCTGGGTCCAAATGCAAAGGCCACAGAAGCAGCTGAGGGCTTAAGCCAGTGCCTAGGGTAAAAAACCCTTGGGCGGGGAATTATTAAAGTATCGAGGCTATGGGGGTAGGGAATTTGATGCTTGCTAAACCAGCGCTGGAAGGGCCAAGGGTGAGAAGTAATCAAGAGCAGGGCTCAGAAGCCCAGGGAATTTGGGTCAAGGACGGAGTTCTTGTCGCCCGCCCCCCAGGGACCGTTCTGCTTCCTAAGGGTTGGGGTTCAGGGGAAGCATCTCAGGCACCCCGGGATCCCCACCCCCTCGGCAGCTGGCCTTAACAGGGCTAGGTCACCGTGCACAGCTGGGTCTTTTCTAAACTGGGCGCCTTTGGATAAAGTCCACGTTCCCGGCTTTGAGCTAGGGCCAGGGCGTGTCTGACAGTGGAGGTGACCGCAGTGATCACACCATTAAATTCACCGTTACCTTTTCAAAGCTGGGCCCCCTTCTGCTACTATCATTCACAAAGCTCCGAGAAGACGGCCGGGACTCGTGACGTATGAACCGGCCACAGGCTGGACATGGTAGTGGCCGCCGGAAGGGCGGGGTTACACGCACTCCGCACAGCTAAGGGAGCACCCGGCTGCTCAGGAGCGGCAGCACCGTGGGTGAGACCTCATCAGAGAAGCGGCAGGAAAACGCAAAGAAGGCAGGAGCATGTCTGCTGAGTCGGCATGGCTGAGAAGGAAACTTCCCTGTGCCGTTAGGTTAGCACCGTCACAGCACAGCATCGAGACCCAGGGTGGGAAGCAAAAGCCTGTGTTCACAAACTTGGTCAACAACTTGGTTACAGCCTGAGTCAGCACAGGCAACTCATAGTATGAGCTGATGAAATACTTGTGGTTTACTGGGCTCTCACTTGGTGAGAGAACGCGACTAGAAGGGACGTACTTGTGCAAAACATGTTCCTGTCCTCCTGGGGATAATCCTTCCTCTAATTTTTTTTTTTTTTTGGCTTTTCTCCGGTACCGGGAACCGAACTCACGACCTTGCGCTTGCCAGGCAGGCACTTTGCCGCTGAGCTAAATCCCCAGCCCCTCCTTCTTCTAATTTAACCATGGTCCAGCACACAGAGATCCAGAACACACTGTAAGCCAGCAGTGTTGATAAGAATTTTGTCAGGCTCTCTAAAAGGGTAACTTCCAAGAGGTCCCACCGAGATTTGAACTCGGATTGCTGGATTCAAAGTCCAGAGTGCTGACCATTACACCATGGGGCCATTGATAGGGAGAACAGAGGTGCAGAGCTGTGCTGAGATAGATCCTTCACAGCGCCCCTTTCCCCAGTTTGAGCCTGAGCTTGGTCAGTCCCCAGGCAGCCGCAGAGCTGGGGCCTGCGTAACATAACTCAGAACCGCCGCGCACCTGGCAGATTCCTCTTTTGTGGAAATTGAAGCTTGCACAACTTAGCGGCCTGTTTAACACAAAGGAAAAGGTGTTATAAACACAGAAGCAGGTATGGCCACTCCAAGGCCTATATATCATGTATGTGAGGATAACATTAGAGCACAGGAAGGCAACTGTCCCAACTGATTTCTAATGTATAAAAAAAATTCCCAATATACACAGAAAGTTCACAAATTAAAAAAAAAAAAGTTTTTATAAAAAGCAGCCCTTTCCCAGGCCGTGGAAAGGGCTGCACCAGTCAGGACTGTTGCCACCGCGACATTCACTACCTGGGTGCACTTCTGCAGTACAATCTCTGCCTCAGGTTTTTTGTTTTTTTTTTAACGGTACTGGGGATTGAACTCCTGACCTTGCACTTTGCCAGGCAGGCACTTGTCCCACTGAGCTACACACCCAGCCCAGTTTTTCTTCTAAAAAACCAATAAAAAGCCACCCTATAGATACAAAAAATAAAATATATATCTAAGAATACTGTAATATTTTGCAATACCAGAAGCGTGGAAACATGCCAGTGTACTTAACTGAGGTATTATACAGCTACTAAAAAGAACAGGAGAGACACGTGCTCACATGCTGACTTGGCAGTTTCTGGGAACGATTTAAGTTTAAAACAAAACTCAGTCATTTGAATAGTAAGGCACAGTATTACACATCTTTATAAATCAAAATTTGTGAGCGTATACTTTCACTGTTTACAAGGAGTGAAAGAATACACACCAAACAGCATCCATTTTTCTGAGAAATTAAGAGTTACCTGTTGCTTCGAGGAGAGCACGAAAGGTAAGCGCTGCGCGGACAGCGGCTAGGAGAGCGACAGGCTCCCACGCGGCGTTTTGGTCTGAAGATTTGACACACAATCAAAAAACTCACGTTCAGTTTCATTGGGTGTAGCGACTCACAGAAGGCGCTTCCCAGACCCTCGGATAAGACACGTTTATTTACACATTCCTGAGAGAACAGTTCTGATAACTCAAAGCCACACAGTTTGGAAAACTCAAAACGTGAGTAATCTGTATAATTACATATAGCAATCAAAGAAAAATAGAGAACCGGGAAGAGACCTTTCAGCAATATGCCCGGGGCGTGTTCTTTATAAAGGTTTTATTAGCACGCGTTTGCAGCAAATAACGCCAGTCCTCGTCGCAGCACGGGCAGCGTCCCTCGCGGCGCGCCCCTAAACACGCCTCACGGCCCCGCACGCCCGCACACTCCCCCACGCCCCCGCACGTTCTCA